ACATTCAACAACTGGATGAATGCATATGAGAATGGTTTTAACGTTTTAATAATTACAAATCCCTTAAAAGGCGGAGCTAGAAGCGTCGACGATTAACTTTTTAATATCCTAAGTGACATGGCCGTTTCTTCGAAAACTTTCGCAGTTTTCAGCTCCCTAGCATTTGAAATAAATGGGTCAACATTAAAAATTTTCCTCGTCCATTCTCAAAACCTATATAAATCACACGAAATAAACTTTTTGAAGGCTTAAGTGATGTTCCCTCTGTCGCCTTCCAGTCTCGAACAAACATAAAAGTTTTTGACAAACGCTTACAAAGGTTTTCTAACGTATTCTTGTTTATTGGTACGTACTATGTTTTAGAGCCGATTTTTTAATCGTCAGATATACGTTATCTAGCAAATAAATAATAACCTGTATATATAAAGCCTATTAAAGTCCACTGCTGAAAATAGCCCTTCACCATAGATTGCCTGATAGGGGGGAGGGAGGGGGGGTATTTGGCATAGTTGCCAGTTGCAAGTGGGGATTGGCAACCGCAGTTTTTTTATTTTAGTAGTTATTAGGAAGATGCTACTGCCCATCTCCTGATTTGTTTCCCTCTGCTGCCTCGTCACACCCACGTGATGATATGGGGTAGTATATATTCTGACACCGCCACTACACAGTAAATTTAATATCTACTTTTACTTAGACAACAACAGTAACCTTTAATTTGTTTAAGTTTTATTTTATTCCATGAATAACTTTTATCTGAAAAACGAAAAACCGGCCCTTAAAAAACCGAAATAATTTAAAAAACAAACATTTTTGGGTGAAATCGAATCTACACGATCGAAGTGACTGTAGTGGACTTATTATTCCTGACCTTATTTAACCACTGCGTGATTTTTTTCGACATACATAGTTATGACATAAAAATGTAACATGCTCTCAAAATGTTTCTAAATCCGATATACGGGTTTCCTCACGACGTATCCTTCATAGTCGATCGCATAGTAGGTTGAAGTACAACTTACACATACATTTTTTGAATGACAACGAACATCAAATGTTTTTGCTAGCACCACGGAAATAATTATGCAGTGAGAACGAAACTGAGAAATTTTAACGCGTTGCGTTTCTCTTTCTTTTCGAAAAAGTGTTTAAAAAATCACAATCTACAGCAGTATATGAGTGAGCCGTGGTAGCTCAGATGGTTAACGCTCGCTGTAAATATCACAGAACGCGAGTAACATGGGTTCGATCCCCGCCGGCCCCAATGAAATTGTTAATTGCAATTTTAAGTGCTGATTTACCACGTGCTCGGCGGTGAAGGGAAATATCGTGAGGAAACCTGCATGTCTAAGGAATAAGAAAAAAAATATTTCGAAGACATGTGAAGTTTGCCAACACGCATTGGGGCAGCGCGGCGGACACTTCTAAACCCTCTCAGAAATGAGGGAAGGCCTGTGCCCAGCAGTGGGACGTATATAGGCTGTAACTTTAACTTTTTTTAACAGCAGAATATAAGACTCCCTATAGAGTGCCTCCTGAGTGTGGGGTATATTTAGGTACTATCGTTGCCACGTTTGGCAAGTTTATACGCGGATTGATTTTGAGCCAACATTCGACCGTACCGACGTAAGACATACCGACCTATACCGTAGTTTTTTTTTACTATTTTAAGTTGTTATCAGAAAAACGATTCGGATAATATGGAGTAGTGGTTATTATAACACTGAAACTACACGGCAATATGAGTAGTGTTTTTTTGCTGTTATTTTTATTTTTATTTTATAGGATAGGGTGACAAACGGGAAATACCTGATTTCTGGCCCATAGACATCTAAATCTATCCTCGATTATGAACTAAAATGCAGATGCGTTGTCACCCGTGGAGACTAAGATGGAATGACTCGTTTCCAGCAAAAGGGGTCTCCGGTTCTCTAAACTCAACATACGAAACACAGCAGCATTAAGTTACTATTTTACGCTCGTATTCTGAGAGAGCGTGGTCCTTCCCCGGTTCAGCCGTCTCATTCGTTCTCTACCACGTATAAAAATATTCATGTGATGGTATTATAATTATATAAAACTTCTATAAAGTAAATAGTAGTTATATAGTAAGTAGTATTACAATATAGTAAGTAGTATTACTGTAGTAAGGAAGTAGTATTTTATATAAAATAACTTATACTGTTGGTCTATATCACCGATTTTATTATAACACTATCAAACCATTGTCACATCATCTAGTCACATTTCACAATTGTGACAGTCTATCAAAGTCCACTCCTGAACATAGGCCTCCCCCATAGATTGCCTTGAGGGTGGGGGGGGGGTATTTTCCATAGTTTCCACGCTTCGCTATCTGATATGCGGATTAATTTTGAGGCAACATTTGACCTCTTCGTCGTAAGAAAATAGACATGTTGTACCTATTATCATGATGTTTTTGCCCCCTTTGCGCCCCGGTATGCCATGTCATCCCGCGAGTGTCGTATAAGATACCACAGGGTAACTAAAGCAGAAGACGAGCAGCATCATCTCCCTAGTGACAACGTAGTAATTACAAAAAATATGCGGTTGCCAACGCGCCTGTCAAGCATGGCATCTGTGGCAAATATCACACTATGTTCAGATGTGAACCGTTGATGGTCTATAATTAATGGATGAATCATCCTACTGTACCTACTCGGGACTTTACTAATTTGTAAGTTTATTCGCCTAATATCACTAATCGAATAGTACATACAGTTATTCTGTCGTTTAAAATCGATGTTAGTTTACTACAAATTTTATTCAGGTTTTCTGAAACGGGCCTAAGCCTTTGATCCATCGTAATGTCTAGAGTGATTTTAAATTTACATATTCTCTGAAATTTAAAAAATAAAAAGTCTCCGGCCTAGCTGAAGTTAAATAAGGTTTTTTTACAAACAATTGAATTGATTGATGTGAAGCGTATGTTTTATCAGTGGATTTGTAATTCCTGACATAACATTGACTGAAAATTACGAGTACGAATAAATTCTTTTGCATTACCTCGTTATATTTTCGAACCGAAATATATCAAGGAACGTGAAAAAGTTATAAATTCTCATTACGGGCTCATTGATTCACGGAGGATGCCAGGTTACAGTGAAGGAAGCCTCCCTCTTAATTACAGAATAGCTTATTTATTGCTACTTTTTATGCTCCAGTTTCTCGTTAACTGATGCAATCTCCTAAGACTAATTATCGACCTTTTTAAAGCATCTTCCCTGCATTTAAAAACATTGCCATCGTCGATTTTGTTCACAAAGTTTATTATGGTAAATACTAGGATGTAAAAAACGATATAAAATCTATTTTTCCAAATGCCAACTGCAAGCGATGTACCCTGTCGGTTGACTGTAATAGACTCTATCGATCGATTGGTAGTGAAAAATTCTTCCATATGGATATATGGATTATTATGCATTTTTGGTTCAGCATATATATGCTGAACCCAAAATGTATGCTGAAACCAAAATGCATAGGGTGTTGATTGGGAACAGTATTATTAAGGGTATCACTCGGAACTCAACCAGCGGTCACCAACATGTTTGCCCAACGTGATGAGAATGGGCAAATATAAATTTAGATTAAGGAAATTTTGATTGCGCAACTGTTAATATCGTAGCAGTCAGGACCAGATTAAGTTCCATTATTCGAAGGTAAATAATAATCGTGAAAAATTCAATATATGACACGAGATGTCCGCTAATATCTAATCGGAAGCATGGCTTCTAAGTAAATAAATAAAAAATCATTTATTCCTAGAAATAGAGCTACAGACCTGAACATTGGAAAATAAATAGTAACTTATATAAATTAATTTTAACTTATATTATATTAAATTAATTTTATTACATATAAATTATTATTATATATAAAAAAGTTACTGGCGGCCCCAAACTAGGAATAGCCTGTATCTTGGGGACCAGGAGTACGGCTATGAGTTTTACTTACGTAGTTAAAAGTACCCAAATTATACAAAACAACAAGTTATTTCTTAATTTAGGAAGATAGTTTTAAACTATTTGTCGCTTATATAATTATTTATTTTTTATTCCTAGAAAAAATATGAATACAATATTTTTAATGTAAAACGTAGATATAATTTGGTATTATTTATGCTTTAATATTAAGTTTACGTTGTCATTATAGTTTAGTGTGGTGAGATATCTTATTACTATTTGTTTAGTTTTCAATCTGGAGCAATTTTTGATGTAACAGACATTAAGTATTTTGCTATAAATATGAGAATGTGAGAACTGCGGAAGGCGTAGCGCGAAAAGTGAGCTGGCAGCCGGAATTGGGATTTTAAATATACGTTTAGTGATTAGGTGGTCGTAAATAGGCGACTGAATTACTTGCCCATGGGTTTTTAATACTGCGGATAGAATATACAACTGACGTACACTCAAAACCTTGCTATCCTGATAAAGATCGGCCTAGGATACCGGTAGGGTTGGCAGAGGGCAAAAACTTTAATTCAATATTTGTTAATCTTATTTTTCATTAGCTCTGCAACCGAATGAAGCCTGCGCCTAATTTAATCTAAAAATTTGTAAAATCCTGCCTTAAATCGCATAATTCATAATGCTTACAGCAAAAGAGTGGAATAATCTGCCGGCGTCTTTTCTTCGATTACAATCTGGGCGTCTTTAAGATAAGAGGATAGGTTTTTAGCCAGATTTTAGTCAACACCGGATAATAATAATTAAAATGAAATATTTGGGTGGTAAAATGACAATAATGTTGAAAATTTTATTCCTGAGTTACAGTGTCATTTCGCTAGTTTTTATTTCTTCCTCTTCTTCTATCATCAATTTCTAAAAGACTGGAGTGCATCAAATTAAAATTTTAAAAATTTTTGAAACCTTACATTTAAAGATTTACCATTATAATCTTATAGTAATAAATAAATCCCCAACATTTTTATGGTTTAACATCTTAAGAACACCCTTAGTTAAGTATTTTTAGAAAGCACTCACGTATAATTGAATCTGCATAAGTCATCGTTGCTTGTATGATCTGGCGCTGGTACCGCGGCCCAGTGTACTGCTCGACCTCCACTGGTGACTGCTGCCAACAGCCTTTGACGACAGCCACAGGAAGACCACACACTAGCACTTGCTACACCTCCAGCCTATATGGTAAATTTGTAAAATAACTTCTTTTTCTTTGCCTTCTTGTAGCATATAAAAATGCGTTATTTAATTTCTAATACTTATAGCTATCAACGCCACGTCAGTTTGATAGTTATATTAATTTATTGTGTCTACATGTGCGTTAAGATTCATAAGTAATTTATTAATATAATGTTATTGTTGCCATTTTTAAAACTTATATACCACATTTTAGGTGGTAAAGGAGAAAATCATATTGAATTTTTTATCTTAGTTTGAGAAACATTTATGAGGAATTTTGAAATTTGTCTGTTAACACTTCTCCCATATCCACTTTAAAATATCAGATTTTCAAACAGTAATTTGACGTCATCGTCAATTTATCTTTTATATATACTCCACGGCCACTTATATTTACGAAACGCTAGTATAATTGAAGCCCAGGAAGATGATCTTGTCGACAATATGTAAGCAAATCAAGGGTTTTAACAAAACCGAAATAACAATAGGACAAAGGCATGAAAAGTGGCGCATCGATATTGTATCGATATTTGACGTAGACAGAATTTAAAAACGAGACTCACTATAGGAGTCAAGTTCGAACTGTAGTCATGTTAAGGTGGAAAATAAGACATGAAAACTTACTTAAACATTACTGTACATCTACATTTACGACATCCAATTATTCCTATCAGAAAACTAGTTTGTCCTTAAAAAAAGTTTAAAGTTTAATGATTAATATGCTACGATATGATGATCCTGCAAGTGTCAATTTCACTTGAAATACGATATTATTATGTTTCAAGTGTAATAACACAATCATAATATTATGTGTGATATTGATTAAACATAAAGGAAGCATATTGTACGGTTTAATATACAATCCCCATAAGATAATCTATGATGATGATGATAAATTATAACTTAACTTTCAGTATCTTACCTGAAGTGGCGTCGGCAGATTTTCAACCAGGAGATAGCACTTAGATGTTGAATTCCAACGTCGGATTCTCTCCCTCGCAAGAACGTAGTGCGTCTCAATTTCTTTTCCTTCAACAGCAACTAATTCCGCCTGTAACAATAAGAAATTAATATATTGAACGGTGTTGTCTTACGTCCTTATATGGTTGGTACGTATTTTAGTAATCGTGTAATTATTGATCCACTTGACAGATTGAGGTCATACACTAACACAGTTTAATTGTTTAACTGAAATATTGATATATAATTAAATTAAAAATACCTTTAATTCTTTTTTTTTTTTATATATATATATATATAACCGGAATCTCGGAAACGGCTCCAACGATTTTCATAAAATTTTGTGTGCAGGGAGTTTCGGGGGCAATAAATCGATCTAGCTAGGATTTATTTTTAGAAAATGTCCTTTTGTCCGTGTTTTTAGGCAATGAAAAACTCTATAATATCGTTAGAATAAGAAGGTAAATTTTGACAGTTCATTAATGATTACAAATAGCTCAGTTGGTATATTGGGCGGTCACAAAATCGCAATACCATTGTTCGAGCCCAGGCCAAACGACCGACTTTTTTTTAAATTTTTTTTTTCAAGTTCCTTTCTTTTTTTGAGAAAATCTATTTTTTCGTGCCCTTTTTTTTTAGTATTTTTTAAAAACACGAAAATTTAAATTAAACTAATTGCACTCATGATTTTTTATTCAAATAACCAGTACAGTTTTTTTCTATTATGTCGCTAAAATCAAAAAATATTATTCGTATTTCATCAGTATGTAATTTGTATCTAAATATAATTTCCAAATCACACGAATTAAAAAAAACCGAGCGAAAAATACCGAGCAAAGCTCGGTCAACCAGGTGCTATATAATTAAATGAGCATTTGTATCAAAATGAATCATATTCTCAAGATGTGTTGGTTAAGCGCCAAAACTATAAATCACGAAATATAATTTCGATAGGTGAAGCCGTGGTCAAGATTTTGCAATACATAAACTGTAACAGAGTGCCCTGCAGTGTACATGTGGCAGAAATGTTCCACGATCTAATGCATCAGTTTCAATTAGTAATTTGGGTGAAACTTTGAGGTTAGAGGGATCTTGCATTCAAGACAAATACAAGAAAAACTTACAAATGATTTTTCGATTTTAGTTATATCCCTTTTATTACCCCTTTTTTTGAAACATTTACATTTTTTTATATAAAAGGTGCCCTTGTACTTAGTTATATCCAAGTAACGTTTATAAATTTGAACTTTCGAGACCTACACGTATCCTATAGGTTTAATAAGCAGTGTCAATAAATACTACGACTCCTGTAGAGGTTTATAACGAGGTTTAAATTATATTTCTTTTTGTTAGGCATAAACAATTTAATCAAGTTTTGTCTAAGAAAACTTCTTACCCAGATAATTATTATACGAACGGTTTCTTATTAGTTGATTCATAAAAAATATAATCATTAGGGAATATATATATATATATATATATATATATATATATATATATATATATTCCCTAATGAATAACTTTTGTTATAAAGTACAAGCGGACCTCAAACAACAAACAACAAAAAATAAAATAATTTTGCAATCTGATGTCGGATCTTAAATTTTTTTCACAATATATTTTAAATACTGCCTCCAGAATGTGAAATAAAATTATTCATTTTAGTTTATTTTTTATTAGAAGTAATTTGTTTAAACAGTATTTCATTGTTCAACCTTTTCATTTGTGTAATACCATATATAATTATATTTCTCAGCAGTAAAAATAGTGATACGTAGTTTCACTCCATTATCCGTTACATTAACAATTATACATTTAATTCGAAGAACCGAAGACCAATGGGGAAGAAAGGTTATCGAGTGTCAGCCTCTACTTCCAGGGGCCTGCTACAGGCAGGCGAAGTGTGTGGCGGCCCCCAACCGAGATGAAGTGACGACCTAGGGACACATACAGGAAGTCGATGAATGCAGGTGGCTCAGGACCGTGCTCATAATGTTTTTTAATATTAAAATAGATTTTATATAAATCGTAAAAAGATTTGTTTATAGTTAAAATACTACATTTCCGTAACAAACTTTTGAAAACGACCGACACATTGATAAACTTTGGGTCAACTACACCGCGTTTCACAGCACCCGTGACATATTTGCACAACTCCGTAAAGGATTTTTCCAATTGTATATCAAACGAATACAGATATTCCGGTCGCCGGTAACTCTATATAAAATATGGGTTCAGATGTAGCGGTTATGCATTTTGTATGCCAAAAATCGCTTGCCAAGATCTTGAAAATGCTTGGTGTATTTTTATTCAACTGCATAAATGTGCGGAAAAGATTTTAAATTCTTGTTCCAACTTAAAGTTCATATTTATTCCTATTTAATAACGAAATTTATTTATAGCTCTTAGAAGGATAAAAATAAGAAAATTTATAGGTTTTAAGCGTTGTAAATTCTAAGCGTAAAAGTGTGAGAATATTTTCTTACTCTTTTTGCACCTCGTAATAAATTTAAACCATACATTACTTTCGTGTAAGAGTGCATTGACTTATATATTATTACTAGTTGTGACCCATTTTGATGATTTTTTCTCTATAATTTAAAGAATAATTCTATACCTACGGAAAGCTTTGAAAAATAAAATACCTCCAAATATTCTAATTGTTATAATTTTGCTGTATAAATATTAGTGCAGAAATTACGTATTTAATTACAGTGATGCCATATTTAGATGTCCAAAAAATAATTGTTCCAAGTCTGGATGTTTGCACATGTGCAATGTGCATGTCAAACCTCTAGGACATAGAGGAAATTTCTGCTATGGATATAATTTTTTTGAAAGAAACAGTCTTTATCGATCCGACAAGTGGTTTTAGCTGACGTAAATCAGCACTTAAAATTGCAATTAACAATTTCATTGGTGTCGGCGGGGGGTTCACGTAAATATAAGAAATCATTACAACAAAAATTGTTTATAATATGTATTTATTTATTAGTTGAATCCACGAAATAAAAACATATATCAATACAAACTAAATATGACATCTTTATCACATATCAATGAAATTAAATATCCAATAAAAGAATCTTGTTATATAACTGTCAAGGTATATTCCCCGCTTATTCTTATTGAACCCTTTTAGGAGGCTGTATCATAAATAATATCTAAGCGGAGCCCTCTAGTCGAGTGCTTCTGACTGATACGGAGTTTTATTACATTTTATTTTAATGTTTATTGAATTTCAGCTATTGGTCCGGAAAGGAGTTTTCATGTAATGCAACGAGTATATTATTGTTCAAAATAGCAGTAATAAAAAATAAAAATATAAATTTCTTTGCAACTTTCCGCTAAACATATAAAATGATGTGTCTTACCTGGAATGAAGCGCACCTCCCGCCCTCCCTTAATTGCATACACTAACTCCGTCACCACTATACCAAGCACCACTACTCTCAACACCACTATTCCAGGCAAGACACACCATCGACGATAATACGACACGTGTTTCGCCTCTATACGAGGCATCATCAGGTAATATAGACTCTACGGCGGCTGACCGCTAAGTATATTCTATCGAAAATAGCATTTACAACTCTGTATATATGATGAATGAACGTATGACGAATTCGACCAACTGAAAGGTAAGGCGAAGCAGCCCGTGGTGGTGGGTGCATAAATGTATCCGTCACCCCACATCCTGTCGTGGATTTCGTAAAAGGTGTCTATGCTTAAAATATTGTATGTACTCCAATAGGTGGCAGTCTCCACCATCCATCCGTTATCAACCATCTCGTTTACAATTCGTTTATACGTGGCAGAGCCACGCTGCTATATTATATGGCTGCTGTTCAAATGGTTCGACTTGATCGGGGTAGGACCACGCTATCACAGAATACCAGCGTGAAAAAGCAGAATAATACTGGTTTATTTCGTATGATGAGTGCAGAGACCCTTTTTACTTGTAACGAGGCATTCCATTTTGGTCATCAAGAGTGACAACCCATAGTAAACTTAGTAGGAAGTTTATACGTCACAAAATTAAAAAATAGACTTCCAGTTCATGATAAAAGTAATTAGTTGTTGTATAGTATTAAGTTGTCTGATTTATTAAAACTTTTGTGCGATGCAAATAATTCTATTACTCGTGAGAAATTTTATTATAAGGAACGTAAGTAAAAGTTACAACCAATATACGTCCTACTGCTGGGCACAGGCCTCCTCTCATTTTGGAGAGGTTTTAGGGCAAGGAAACAAACAAACTTAACATGTATTCTAAATATTTTTTTATTTCTCAGACATGCAGATTTTTCCTCACGATGTTTTCCTTCACCGCCGAGCACGTTTTCATTAGTTTTCATTATTTAATTAGTGTCGGCGTGGATCGATCCCGGGTTGCTCACGTACTGTGAAATTAACAGCGAGCGCTAACTATTTGAGCTACCACGGCTTGGCTATAAGGAATGTATTAAAAACCAAATAATAAAAGAGAGTGCATTAGTGTTTTTAGTGTACTGATTTGTAATCGACGATTCTTTATAATCCTCTCAATTCACAGATTACTTTAAGGTGAGAATAATGTTTTTTTTTTATAAAATTGAAGTAATCAACGAACTTGTTGTCGACCTGATGGTGACTATTGCAGCCCATGAAAAATAGCAACCAACTTAGAACAAAGAAGGCAGGTGCATTGATGGAATATCTCACAGCCTGTATTTACACCGAATCTATACCCTTCGGACCAAGACACAGTAGTGTAAGCTCAGCTACTTAGCGACAGATGTAGGTAAGAGCGTGTTACCTCACAGATGGACTCCTAGCCAAAAAAGGTCTGCTAATACCTAGCCACCCATTATCCATTACAGCCTATAAAAGTCCACATAGGCTTCCCCCACATACGGTGGTTACAGGTTCGGTATTTCATCAGTTCAGTCCGTCAGTCTGGTCAGAATGACCGCACAATTATCGTCTAAGCCACGGACTGACGGACTGATGGTCAGGACTGATAAAAATTAAATATTTTAGATAATTGAATAAAACTATTATTTATGGATTTTATCGCGTTTAATTACTACTTTAACTTATTTTTATTATCCAGACGTTTTGGGCGCTTTACAGCACCCATGGTCACTTTTTTTTTTGATTTACGAAAAACTTAATATTCAAAAACTGAAGTTAGCCGGTCTAACTATGACATTAGGACGCGTCAAACATCTCGGTTCCCCCCCGTGACCATGGGTGCTGTAAAGCACCCGAAACGTCGGGATAATAATAATAAGTTAAAGTAGTAATTAAAAGCGATAAAATCTGTAAATAATAGTTTTATTCAATGTGTAGTATTTGCGTAAACTTATATAATATATATATAATATAATATATATATATATATATATATATATATATATATATATATATATATATAAAAATATAATATAATATAAACACTCACGCCTGTCACCCAGAGGGGTAGGCAGAGACTACAGACTTCCATTTGGCACGATCCTGACACACCTCTCTCGCCTCCTTCACATCCATACACCTCCGCATACATGCTCGTCGGTTAAGGGTACTCCTAATTTGGCCCGTTTTCAATAAATCGCCAATTTGGTCGATAAATTTTCGCCTAGGACGTCCCTTTCCGACTCTGCCATTCACTTCTGCAACATAAATTTTCTTTGTCACTCTTTCCTCATTCATTCTTTCCACATGACCAAACCACCGAAGCATTCCTTTCTTAATCCTGGTCACAACATCATCTTGCAAACCACACTCTTCTCTTATTACACAATTTCTTACCCTGTCATTAAGATTCAGCCCTAACATACTCCTTAACGACCGCATTTCTACTGCGTTCATTCTACTCTCGTGCTTCTTCTGCCACACCCAACTTTCACTACCATATGTTAAAGTAGGGACCAACACAGCGTAAACTTAAGAAATCATTATTTTAGATAATTTTCGTCAGTCCATTGTGAATGATGAAATACTGATGCAAAACTGATCGTGTAACCGCCGACTATCATTCTGGCGTCAGTCAAAGTTGGATCAGACTGACGTACTGAACTGATGAAATACTGAACGTGTAACCGCCGTAATAGATTACGTCATAGCTCCTCCCATACCATAGTTGTTACGCTTGGTATGCGGGTTGACAACTGCAGTTTTTTTTATTATTTTGAGCTGTTATCAAGCAGATGTAGCTGTCCATCTCCTGTTTCAGACAGCTGCCTACTGGATAACATAGATATTCTTATGTTGCCACTGCAAATACTATGTACATAATCATTATATCTATCATCTCTATCTATATATCTATCAATCTACCAAGATATAACAACGCCAATACACGGATTTTTCACCTTTTACACAGTTGCTATTTAGTAAATAATAATAAATTATTTATTTGCCACAAATCTTTTAACAATTAAATGCGACCCTGGCTTCTAAACTAGTTGTAATAACTGTATCTTAGAAACCAATGTCTTCCCCTATTATATGAACAATTAAAATAGATTCTGACGATTTAAGAACCTAGGTGGATAGTAATCGTGTGCGTGCACACGCGCGTGCGAGTGAGTGTGTGTGTGTGTGTGTGTGTGTGTGTGTGTGTGTGTGTGTGTGTGTGTGGCGCGCGTGCCCGCGTGCGTGCGTGCGTGCGTGAGTGCGTGAGTGCGTGCGTGCGTGCGTAGTGCGTGCGTGCGTGCGTGCGTGCGTGCGTGCGTGCGTGGCGTGCGTGCAGCGTGCGTGCGTGTGTGCGTGCGTGCGTGCGTGCGTAAGTGCGTGTGATATATATATATATATAGAGAGAGAGAGAGAGAGAGAGAGAGAGAGAGTGCGTGAGTATTTCTTTGTAAGTAATAAATAAGTAAAATATTTTTTATAATGATTTCTTATATTTACGCGAACACTACACATTGATTAAAACTACTTTTACGCATTTTATCGCGTTTATTTTACTATTATTTTTAATTCCCGACGTTTCGGCAATTTCGTTTTTAAACAATAATTAAAAAAGCTGAAGGTACTCTGGGTTTAACAATGACATCGGGACGTCAGTCATCTCAGTCCCCCGTGACCATGGGTGCTGGAAAGCGCCCGAAACGTCGGGAATTAAAAATAATAGTAAAATAAACGCGATAAAATCCGTAAAAGTAGTTTTAATCAATTTTTTGTTCAATGATGCAATTAAATATTATGCAGAACTTTTATATTGGCCTGTATTCTTAGAAAATAGTATAACTGGAAAACTAACTACAACGAAGAGCATCATTAGTGGTATTTTATTTTTCTTGCAGACATTTTGCTGGGTGATTAAGAAAGTTTGCTTTTTCTTACTAAACTTTGGGCCCCTCAGTCATTATGTAGAAACGGGGGATAACTTACAGCTCATTGGTTTTCTATTGTCCTTTTATCGTGTCCCTTTAACATGTTTGCTTCGACACAGGGGCGGGCTTTTATTTCACAAAAACGCGAAAAGAACTTTGTTGCTTTGATGTCATTTTGTTTAATCTTATTTTAAGCTCTTTCTCTTTGAAAACTTTGTTAT